GAGAGAGAGACAGCGTGAGCAGGGGAGGGTCAGAGAGAGAGGGAGACACAGACTCTGAAATAGGCTCCAGGCTCTGAGCTGGCAGTCAGCACAGAGCCCGACGCGGGGCTCGAACCCACGAACCGCGAGATCATGCCCTGAGCGAAAGTCGGACGCTCAACCGACTAAGCCACCCAGGCGCCCCCGTCCCCTCATCTTTTAAAGTAGGGTACTAGTACCCATGTCAGCCCCATCAGGCGAGGGAGGGGCAACTCGGTAAATTAGAAATCACTCAACCAGGGGCGCCTGGGGGCTCAGTCAGTTAAGTGTCTGACCAGCTCAGGTCATGATCTCACGGTTTGTGGGTTCAAGCTCCCCACCAGGCTCTGTATTGACAGCTCAGAGACTAAAGCCTCTCTTCAGATTCTGTGTCCCCTTCTTTCTCTGACCCTCCCCTGCTCATGCTGTGTCTCTCTCTCTCTCTCTCAAAAATAAATAAAACATTTTAAAAATTTTTTAAAAAAGAAATCACTCAACCAGACACTTGAAACAGGTGGATTTTACGGGGTGTAAATGGTGCCCCACTCAAGCTGCCATGGAAATCAACACGCCAGCCGTCCTGCACTTTGCCCGCACACAGTAAACACTCGGTAAACACTAGTGGATTAGTAATCGTGTAATAAAGGGATTAAAGAACAGAACACTGAAGACGTGTCAAGTCAGATTTTTAAAAAAACAGTCCAGAATTATGGGTCTGGGTGAACCCTCGGCACCACGTAGCTCATCTCCCCTCATGTCACCATAAGGAAAGTTAGGGGCCGGCGGGCCAAGTGGCCTGGTCAAGGCCTGCCTCCTAAGACCAGCCCTGGGGTCTGCAGATGCCCCTGGGCACACCTCCCACCGCCACCCAGGAGGCCAGGAGCCAGCGCCCCCAGGGCGTGTGGAACCTGGAGGGCGGGTGTCCCTCAGGGAAGAAACAGCAGAGAGCACAGAAAGGTCCTGTGGAGACAGGAGGGAGTTCCAGGGCCGGGGGCAAACTGCAGGGAGGCTGCCACCCCTGCCCACCAGCCAGGGCCCCTGCAGGGCTGCAGCCAGGAGGGCCAAGGACCGGCCAGGGGCGCCCACGTGCACAGTCCTGTGCGCTGCCGCCTGAGCTGGGAACGGGGTGGTGGGATCCGGGCCCGCAGGAACCCGCAGGAACCCGCAGGGCTCCCGGGTGCCGTCTGTCCCGGAGCCCCTCGAAGGGCAGCTACAGCCTCCGAGCAGTCGGGCCTCTCCGGCTCGGTGGACCCCAGGTCTCCCGCCCAGCCCTTGCGGACTCCGAGGGCCTTCCCACGCCGCCCTGTAAACCCCGCGCAAGTCCTCCACCCAGCTCGAGCTGGACGCACCCCCACCCCCCACGGCCACACGGCCACCTTCTCCGGAAACCGGACAGCACGAGTGGAAGATCCCGAAGCTCAGAGACGCTCGGCGGATCGTGGCAGCGCTGCGCGGTGGGCGCCAGGGCAGGCGTGTGGGGCCGCGGCCCCCGTCTTCCCTGGAAAGTGACAAGTAACACTCTGGACCCAACGGCTGGTCCGGACCCGGGCGTTGGGGGATCCGCCGGGGTTAGAGGGGGTGTCGTGGACAGAGGACAGGGCAGGCTCCGAGCAGCGCTTCGGGTCCAGGCCGCCACGCCTCCCCGGCCCGGGGTCACTGCGCGCCGTGGACGCTCTGGTGGCGCAGCAGGTGCGAGCTCCTGCTGAAGGTGCGGGGGCACTGCTGGCACGCGTACGGCCTCTCGCCCGTGTGCGTCCGCCGGTGCAGCGCCAGCTGCGACAGCTGGCCGAACGGCTTCCCGCAGCGGTCGCACGCGTACGGCTTCTCGCCGGTGTGCACCCTGCGGTGCAGCAGCAGCTCCGAGCCGTCCCAGAAGGTGCGCGCGCACTGGGCGCACTGGTGCGGCCTGTCGCCGCTGTGGACGCGCCGGTGCACCGCCAGGTGCGAGCTCCGCCGGAAGGCCTTGCCGCACTCGGGGCACTCGAACGGCTTCTCGCCCGTGTGGATGCGCTCGTGCCGCAGCAGCTCCGAGTTGCCGCGGAAGGCCTTGCCGCACTCGCCGCACACGAACGGCTTCTCGCCCGTGTGGATCCTCACGTGCCGCGCGATCTCCGAGTTCTGGCCGAAGGTCTTGCCGCACTCGCCGCACTCGTACGGCTTGTCGCCCGTGTGGACGCGCTGGTGGCGGATGAGCTCGGAGCTCTGGCCGAAGCCCTTGCCGCACTCGCCGCACAGGTACGGCTTCTCGCCGGTGTGGATCTTCTGGTGGCGGATGAGGCCCGAGCTGTGCTTGAAGGCCTTGCCGCACTCGCCGCACTCGTGGTAGCGCTCCTCCGTGTGGATGCGCTGGTGCTGGATGAGCTGCGAGCTGACGCGGAAGGCCTTGCCGCACTCGTTGCACGCGTACGGCTTCTCGCCCGTGTGGATGCGCTGGTGCAGCAGCAGGGCCGAGTTCTGGCTGAAGGCCTTGCCGCACTCGCCGCAGCGGTAGGGCCGCTCGCCGGTGTGGACGCGGTGGTGGTGCACCAGGTGCGAGCTCTGGATGAAGGCCTTGCCGCACTCGCCGCACGCGAACGGCTTCTCGCCCGCGTGGATGCGCAGGTGCCGCCGGAGGCTGGAGTTGGTCCCGAACGGCTTCCCGCACTCGCCGCACTGGAAGGGCTTCTCGCCGCTGTGCACGCGCAGGTGCTGCGTCAGGTGCGAGTTCTGGTTGAAGGCCTTCCCGCACTCCCGGCACGTGTGCGGCTTCTCCCGCCCGGGGCTCCGAGGCGGCGCTCGAGGCCCCGACGCGGGCGCGGGGCCCCCGGGCGCGGGGGGCGGGGCGGGGCCGGGGCCGCGGACGCCCTCGCCCGCCGCGGCCTCCTGCGGCCTCTCGCTGGACGGGGACCTCTTGACGGTCATCGGCCCCGGCGCGTCGCCGCCTCCCCGAGAAGACCCAGGCGCCACAGCCTGGTCGGCGGGGCCCCCCGTGGTCGGCGCCAGCACGGCCGCTGCTGCGAACTCCCGGCCCCCGTCGGCGGCCCTGGGGGGCTGTTCCAGTGCTGCCCCGGGGGGCTCAGGCTCTTCGCAAACTTCCTCCTTGGGAATGACCTCCGTGTGCTCAGTCCCCATGTCACGATCTGAAACGACAGAGGGCAGGCACGTGAAGTGGCCGAAGCTGGCGCAGCGGGAGCTCCCGCCCCAGGGTCTGGTGAGAGGACAGGGCGCCCCCGACCCCGGGAGAAAGGGACCTGAGATGACGGCGTTGGAGCAAACGCACAGCAGACACTGGCTGGATCATCAGGGGAGGGGTGAGGCCGGAAACTGTGCATGGTACAGGGGTGCTCCATGCGCACGGCAGCCCGCAGAGGCGCGGAGGGCGGCGGGGAGGGGCGCGGGGAGACACAGCTGCATCAACAGATGGGTCTGTGAAAAAGGGTGGGACAAAGGGGTGAAAAGGACAAAGTGACAGAGGTCACGTGGGGTTAGCGCGGGCCGTGGCCGCACCAGGTCTACACTTCTGGGGCCTGGAAACCAGGGCTGACCATCCAAAGTTGTCGGTGGCTTAGCCGGCCCAGAACAGACGTCTTCCAGGCTCCCCTACAGTAGGATGGAGCGTTTACAGCTCAGTGCCCTCCACGTGGTCGGCACCCGTGTCCAGGCCCCGTGTCCAGGCCCGCCGCCCTCTTCCTCACCGACAGGGAACGCGCCCACACCACAGTCTAAAGGTCTATGTCGGGGTCAATATTGTCTCCTCCTTCCCCGGCACCAGAGCCTCAACCCGCTGTAGCTTTACTGGACTCTGTACTGTCACACAAAGTTCTCTCTCAGTTGCCTTTTCCAGATACTTCCTGTCCATGCTCATAATTCTCCAAATCAATTATTAGTACAATTTTGTAAAATTTCCAGATACTTCCTGTCCATGCTCATAATTCTCCAAATCAATATTAGTACAATTTTGTAAAATTCCCAAACAGATCCTGATGTGCTTATATCCATCATGTCTCTGTATGTCTTCCTTCTTAGTGAGTTTTCTTATATTTCCTAGCTGGTTATTGTCTTTATATACAGCAACGTTATTTATTTTTATGACTGGTTTTATAAATGGCCTCTTTATATAAGTTTCTTAATACCTTTTTAGATCTTAAGGCCTATACTTTTTAAACTGCTAAAAGCCTGTGGCAAAAGTTTTAGTTATCACCCAACAGCCATTCTTGCCTGCCGCAGCAACAGAATGACGAATGTATTTAGCCGAGCAAGGGATCTAATTAAAGAAATACATTCTTCAGCTTTCTTTGCAGCTGGGTTTGGCCACGTGACCAAATTCTGGCAGCTGAGACCTTAAAACGCAGACAAAAGTACATGGGGCTTCTGGGAAGTCTCCTGAGGGGTGAGGGATGCATTTCTCCACGTTTCCACACTGTGCCCGGGGCAGGGCGCCATCCTGGCCCGCGAGCACACCAGCACACCCGACAACCGGACCAGGGCCAGAAGGGTCTGCGTCCCCGACGACTCCTCGGAGCTGCCCTACCAGCCCTGGAATGCCTGGCTGAAGCCACTACAGTTTTCTGTTCTGCTTCTACAAAGCCAAGCCTATTTCTACCTAGCGCAAAGGCCCCGGGGATTTAGCTCTCCCCGACACAGGACTGAGCTCGACGCGAGGAGAACGGACTGGCCTCTGTGCAGGTTTTCAGTGGAGCTGATGCTGCAGGGGCCTTTGGTCCAGGGCACCACAGCCAACCTGAGGAATACAGGCCTGTCAGTAAAGGTGCTCACTGTGGAAGGTGGTTCTCGAGGGAGAACGTGCAGCCACGGGACTTTCTCCTTTAGACAACACAGAGCCGTGGAACGGTTTCTAAGCCAGGCAGTGACCGGCCTGTGGTCAGATGAGCATCTCAGGCAGAGGCGCTCTGATGCCCATTTAGTGGACTGACTAGAAAGCAGCAGGCCCTGGTACAGGGAGATCAGGGAGAAGGCGGAGGCCGTCACCAAGGCAAGGGGCACGTGATCTCACCAGGGCAGCAACGGCAGAGGGAGTGAAGAGGAGGCCAGCAGGAGAAGCGGTTTGGAGGTCAGGAAGAGGGAGGAGTCCAAGGCGATGCCTGGGCCTCCCTTTATGTAAGCATTGGTGCCCCCGAGACTGGGTGCCAGCTCGTTCAGGCCGGAAGGGGACGCAGGAGCTCGGTTCTGCACAAGAGAAGTTTCAAGATACCCATACAGGGTATCAAGGAATCTGTTAAAATGTATTGGTCTAAAACTTCTATTGGTCAGACGAGGGACCCAGACCTGACAGTGCTCAGCGGCAGGTGGCCTGGGGAGAGCGTGGGAAGGGCTGCAGACCGACGTGAGGATCGCGGTCACAGGTGACCTGTGAGAATGGGTGGTGGTGGGCTGATCCATCAAGCTGCTGCTTTGTTCAAGGGCAAGGATTTTCCCCGATGGCAGAGCACTGAGTGTTGGGAGCCATTCTGAGCCCACTAGTCGAGAAAACTCCTGGTGAGGTTAAAGCAAGTTTGCACGGTCTCTTGCCAATCAGATGATGACTGATACTCACCCCGACTCAATTATCTCTTCCTGAGCACTGACCCCTAAGGTACCTTGTTGATCAATATCGGGAGTGACTTGTCCCCTTATTCTGGCCCTGGTATGATGATTGCACCTTGTGAAGGAACTTATGGTGGGAACTTCTTCTTTTGATTATGGGAACAGACATCGTGTCTCCAGAAGGTCCTGTTTCCCTCCATACTTTCCCTTGAGCTATGAACAGGCCAACGACCCCTAGTCATAAAAGATTGACCTTCACATGTACAATTCTGTTTCTACTATTGCGTTAGTCCAGGATGTTCATACAGCTCAACATGTAAATCAACTAACCAAAAATGTCTTTCATGCCCTAGCTATTCAAGAAATCATAAAAGTAGACACAAAGTTAAATGCACTCGTAGAGGCTATTCTACGTATTGGGAAATAAGCTAAACTCTTTAAAGGTATGGTTGGCTCTCTGGTGCAATAAAGCATATCACTGGAAAATCAAGTCTTGCCTGGAGACAAAGAGCCTAACTTAGAGAAAAGGAACAGATAAGGGCAGAAGATAAGTTAGTACATACCCCTATGCTAACTGATGGTGTACAGCAGCCCCTTCCCTGGGGCCTGCTTTCCACAAACACCTTCCCTTCCCCTGGCCGCTGTGATGCGGATGGATAAGAGTATCTACAAACCTGTGGCTTCATCTTAGTGTTATTAAAATGTGAACACCTTGTTATTTTCTTAGTTACTCAACCTCACTATAATTGGGGCAGTTCTGCAAGAAGACTTCTGTAAAACCTGTTTCTGCACATTTTCTAAAAACACCTTATCACAAAGAGCTATCCATTGTAAAACTTCCATTTCCTGATGCCGTGTTAACATTTGACCTATAAATAAAGACACCAACACCGGCAGGATGGAGATGCCTGCCTGGTGATCGGAAAGGATCTCGGGGCCTCACTCTCTCTCGCCGACACCGTCCATCCTTCAGGGACCCCTGTACCTGTCGGAGCCGGCGCGGCCTCCGACAACTGAGCGCGTTTACGTCAGAAGGGGCGGTGCCAGCAAAGAGACAGGTTACAAAGGAAGGCGAGATGGCATCAGGGAAGAAACAAGGACCCCGACAGGCAGGAGAGACCAGGAGCCAGTGGTGAGGGAAGGGGGCGCGCAAAGGATGGTGGCCGCCCACCCCGGGCCTCTCCCGTGGCCCCTCCTCCCGGGAGGAACCTGATCTCCCACCAGAAGCCCCAAGTCTCAGAAGCGCTCGCTGCTGCCCCTCAAAGTGACGTGCAACCTTCTCGTCGTCCCCACCAGCGTCTCCTCCAGCTCTCCCACGGGGGAGGGACGGCCACCCAACAGCTGGACTTCCTCCTGCTGACGCCTTTGGGAATTATGGCCAAATTCGTGTCTAGAGAACTATAAGCATACACTGCAGTGGATTTAACTACCTGCACCCCCGGGACCGTCTGAGCCCGGCAGGCGTCTTAAAAAAACTCCGTCTCCAACACTTAGCCAAGAGCAAGTGCCACAGCTGTCGCTGGAGTCCCTGTGCACCGGCGGCCCCCCGCCCCCCTGCAGTCCCCATGCACCCACGGCCCCTCTCGGGTCTCCCCTCCACCCTCCTCTCTCCTGCGGTCCCCGCTGCCTGTCACCCAGCTCCCGCAAAGTCAGGATCCACAGAACCATATCTCGGCCACCCCACGTGGAAAATTACTTGTCCACAGTAAAGCAGGACACAAGACACCGAAGCCAGGTATGTCTCTACCCCCAATGTGGAGACCCGGCACAAAGATCCAATCCAGGAAGTCTCCCCAACTACATGTGACCCCCGTGGCCATGCACTTGGGGGGCATTCTGCCAGTGACACAGTATCACTGTTTGCTACGTCACATCAGCTTCCTCCTCTCTGATCCCTTCCATATAAATTCTCGCCGGGGCACAGCGACCACTCGGACCTCACGCTCACGTGCAAACATTCCGCTACCCGCAGCCCAAATTCCGACTTCCAAACCTCATTTCCTACCTTAGTTTCTCACTTCTTCCCTTTCCTAAACCTGAAATTAGCTGTTTCTGGAGAGCGGGAAGAAGGAGGCGTCACCTGAGGGGCAGACCCACCACCCACGGTCCTCGGCCTGGAGCCGATCTCTACGGGGTTCCCACAGTTCAGAATGGGGTCTGCAACTCAGCCCACCTGCACTTGTGGTTTTTCGGTGCACCCCAGAAGAGCACCTTTAGAAAGACTTGCCCATAGGGGCGCCTGGGTGGCTTAGTCGGTTAGGCATCCGACTTTCACTTAGGTCATGATCTCACGGTTCGTGGGTTCGAGCCCCGCGTCGGGCTCTGTGCTGACAGCCAGCTCAGAGCCTGGAGCCTATTTCAGTCTGTGACTCCCTCTCTCTCTGACCCTCCCCTGCTCACGCTGTCTCTCTCTCTCTCTCTCTCCTGGAAATATATAAAACATTTAAAAAAAAAAAAAAAGACTTGCCCACAAAATGCTGATGCCTGTGAACAAACAAGGAGAAATAAAACTGCAAAAGGAGCATGCTGCTTAGATGAGAATCCACATGGGAAGGACACAAAACCCTGAAAATTATTGCAATTGTGGCAGGAAGATTTTTTTTTTTTTGATGAGTAATTCTTTTTGTTTGTTTGTTTTATAGATTTCTGAGAGAGAGAGAGAGCGCGCGCGCGACAGAGCACAAGCAGGGGAGGGGCAGAGAGAGAGGGAGACACAGAATCCAAAGCGGGCTCCAGGCTCTGAGCTGTCAGCACAGAGCCTGACGCGGGGCTCGAACTCACGAACCGTGAGATCATGACCTGAGCCCAAGTTGGATGCTTAACCGACTGCGCCACCCAGGCGCCCCATCTGATGAGTAATTCTTAAATGACTCTTCTTAGCTTGGAACTAGGCTAGATGCAGGAGAATCACTGGGAAATGTGTTTAAACTAATAGTTTTCCAGCTCTCACCTCAGACGTCTCCATGAGCCCGAATGCCCGGGGGTCAGCCAAGGCAGCTGTATTTTTACCAAGCGCCCTGAGTGATGCCCCAGCAGGTCTGGAAGCCGCCGTGTCAGACAGTCTCAGGAACGGAGCTCTCCATACTCAATCCGCTGCACCCCCCGCCCCCTGCCTGCGCTGCCGGAAAGACAGACACACACGTAAGCAGCAGGATTAGAAATGCACGGCCTGCTCCAGCTGATTTTCTCCTACCCTCCCCTAAACTTCTCTGGACACCCAGGAAAGATATGCTGCAACTGACGGGTCCTCTTTTCTGAGTTAAAATCACAACTCTAGGCGCCTGTGTGGCTCAGTCGGTTAAGCATCCGACTTCGACTCAGGTCATGATCTCACTGTAAGGTCAAGTCCTATGTCGGGCTCTGTGCTGACAGCTCAGAGCCTGGAACCTGCTTTGGATTCTGTGTCTCCCTCTCTCTCTGCCCCTTCCCCACTCATGCTCTGTCTCGCTCTCCCTCTTTCAAAAATAAATAAGCATGAAAAGAAAATCACATCTCCATTACGCTTACCAGACAGACCCCAGATGCTGCGACTGGGCCAGAGTTCGCCCAAACTGCCTAAATCGGAGGTCATGGGCATCTCCACAAGAGCAGTATCACTTAATCCTCTGGATTCACCTGCCAAAAACCACCTTGTGATTCGTAGTAAAAAATCATTAAACAATCTACAAACTGACATCCGATTAAGTCTTTTTAAGATTTTGTTGAAAGCAAGGATAGGACCCGAGGGACAAAATGCCCAGGAATCACATTCTTCCTCAACAAACTCCAACTCAGCCCACAGTGACACGCGGTCATGAGATCAGGGGGTGCACAGGTGAGGGGCAGGTCTCCCTTCTGCAAAGGACCATGTGAGCAATGGTCCAGGAGCGGAGAAGGGGAAGCTGCGGGCCACAGGTCCCTTTCCGGGCAGACGGTGGAGGGCAAGGGTCTGAGGTCAAGGGCGAGAAACTGGATTCCATTCAGTGTGCGTGCTCACAGATGTCCCAGGAGGGTTTGGGAGCCCCTCGCACACTTCAGTTCAGACCGGTGCCAGGCGGCTGCACCCTGGGCAGCGCGTGGGGCGAGCGGAGCCTCTGAGGCCAGGGCGCCCGGGGGGCAGAGGGAAGAGCAACAGGTAGAAGACCGTGACCTCAGCACACCCTGTGGATGAGGAGGCACAGCAACGAGGGAGGGCGTGCGCGGGCTACTGACCACGTGCTGGAGGCCCGCCGGCCACGTGCGCGGCGCTAAGCCACTTACAGCCCATCTTGTGAAACCCTCCGACCTCCACCCGAGACAAGTACGCCGGGCGTCAGGGAGCACAGGCCATCCACGCGCTCTCCCGGCTTCCGCCAGCAACACTTCTGACGGCCCCAAAGCAGCCGGCACGCTGGGGCCCCGGGCGGGGGAAGAATGAGGCCGTGAGGGGCTTGAGGACGGCAGCCAGAACACAGGCCAGCTGGGCGAGCACAACGGGGAAGCAGGTGGAATGGGGGGAGGGGAGCGGTGTGGCGGGTCCCACGTGGAGGTTACAGGGAAGGTGGAGAATGTGGTGGGCGCCCAGAACCACGGGCAGGCATCCTGGAAAGGGGCCCGAGGTCTAATTCTGATGCTCTAATTTCACGGAGCATTTGAGCAGAGGTTGCAGTGCCCCCCACCTCCCTACACACACACTCACACACACACACTCGCTCTGCACATCTGACCTCAGCAAAGAGCTCCAGGACTGAGCCCCCACTGAGTTAACCCTGTCAAAGCAAGAGCATCTCGCCTGCGTATGCTTCCCTCTGGGTCAGTGACATGCGGGGTGGGGGGGGTGCTGGGAGCCCATGGGGACAGTTCTGGCTGTGCTGACTCGGCCGCGGCTGCTGTCATCTCCCTACCAGCTCCTGACGAAGGCAGGGAGGGCTCCGGAAACAGAGGGCCACTAGATCAAGTCAGTCCTGCAAGCGCATTACGTGTCTACCTCCAATTATGAGAACTTACACACCCGCGTATCTTTAAGCAGCTTGAGTCGTTACTACAGAAAAAAACATCTTAACAGATACACTGTCCCCTCAACTTCTGAAAGGCCAGATCCTAGCAAGCATTCATTATCTAGTACAAAGGATCACCTCCTCCCCAGTCTTGCTGGAAGGTTCGCCCCTGGACCTCTGAACTGCATTTCACTCGCCATTTTCTCCGCACTCCAATTACCCTGTGGCTTCCTGTTCATTGTTCCCCCAATGAACCTACCTAATAAAAACTTCCCGACGTGGCTCATGAGCACCCCCTGCTCCGGCCCCTTCCCCTTTCCTGGCCCACCGTCTCCAGGGACCCCGGGAAGCTGTAGTCCAGCCCAGGACCCTGCAAACACTCCTGTTCTTTAAAGGTTGTCTGCACTTGGAAGGCCCTTCCCACTTCCCGGACCGCTCCTGCCCTCCTCGGGCACCTCACAGACACCCGCAGGCCGCCGCCCAAGCACAGAGCCCTTCCATCTTCCTCCCCGGCCCTCGGACTCGGCTCCGAGCAGCGACCTCCCGGTACTGTGTCTGTAGCCCCGGAGCAAGGATGCTCTTCCAAGCATCGGGCAACTCCGGGCGCCTGGCACGTTTCGGGGAGCTGGTGAGCACCTCTGTTCCGTGAATCCGTACAGATGCTTCATCTACACAACGAACCTGTGAGACCCTTGGGGACTAACTGGAGATTTCATTCATGTTTGTATCCGAGGGGTCTAGAACGGTGCCCGACACACAGCCGACGCCCGTCACTACTTGTGAATCCACGCTCCTTCTCCCGGCCCGGGGGATTCGGGATCTACAGCTCGGCCTTCCTACGCTCCGCGGTCGCCCCCGCCGAGGCGGCTCCGTTACCGACCCCCGGGCGCCGGAGGCCGCGGCGGACCGACCGCCCTCGCGTCCCCGCCGCTCCCTCGTGCGGGAGGGAAGCTGGGGGCGCCGGACCAGCCCGCGGCCGCTTGGAGAGCGCGACCCGCGCGGGGACGGTCCTCCCTGAACGGGCGGGGACAGGGGGGCGGGGGCGGGGGCGCGCGGAGTCCAAGGTCACGCAGGCAGCTGGGGGCGGGGCGGGCCTCGGCGTAGCGCGCGTCCGCACGGCGCGCACCCAGGGGCCGGCCCCCCGCGCCCCGCCCGCGCCCCGCCCCGCACTCCCGGCCGTGGTGGGGACGGGGGAGGCGTCTCACCGCGGCCGCTTCCGCCCCGTCGCGCTCCGCTCGCCCCCTTCTCGCCGGGCTCCGCGCTCCCCGCCGCCGCGGACTCGGTCTCACGGCGACCGCGGCGGCCGCTTCCACTTCCGGCGCGCCCGGCCAATCGGCGCGCGCCGCACTCGGTGGGGGAACAGGTGGTCGGCCCGCCCGCCGCGCCTGCGCCTGCGCCGCCCCCGCCCCGCCTCCCCGCCGCCTCGGCTCGGCTCCCCGGGGAGGCCCGGCGCGCGACGGCGCTCGCTTCGGCCGCGGGACCACCGAGGAGCCGGGTCCTCCGGCCGTCCTAGAACGGCCCCGGGGACGCACTTCCGCCGCGGGGCCGGCCGCTCTGCGCGCCGCCGTCGCGCCCCCAGCGCGCACCTGCGCCTCTCCGCGGCCGCGGCCCGCCGCCCTCTGCCCTGAGCGCCGGGGGCCCGGAGGTCGGGGGGCTTGCTCGCGGGAGGGACCCGGGCGAGAGTGCGGGGCGAGCGGCTCGGGCCGCGGCTCCGCATCCCCCGCCGTCCCTCTCCCGCCCGGATCCAGCCTGCCCGCCTCGCCCCAGCCCTGCGCTCACTGCCCGTTACTTCCCGTGCCCGCCCTTTGGGTTTCAGGTCTCGGTTCACAGGTGACGCCGCAGAGGGGCTCCGTCCTACCCAGGGTAGCCTCAGTCCGCAGCCCGCTGCCGGGCACCGGTTCGCAGGGCCCACCATCGCGGGGGTGTAGGAGTCGTCCGCCCCGCCGCCATCCTGCAGAATGGGGACGGGAGCGTCTACACTCGGAAAGGGGTATGTGTGAGTACCCAGCGCACACCCCATCACAAGGAAGACCTCCCTCCGGCCCCGCCCTGCGGCCGTCCACACCAGCGGCCTTAACTCCGTTGCCCTGGCGTCTGGCACCCGCCAGAGTCCGTCACCGCTGGATTGGCCGAAATGCCCACTTTCCTTGCCTAGGCTGCTAACAGCTCGTGGGAAAAGTGTTTTTGAGAAGAGCCCCAAGATAAATGGATCATGTCTCTCCCCCAGAGGCCTTTCAACCTTGGGTGTGAAAAGGCCAGGAAGTAAAGCAAAAGGGCAAACCTTCCTGCCCTGGACCCAAGCACTACGCCAAGGAGCCCAGAGCATCCAATTCTGAGCCTGGCCCGGCAAAGGCTTTTTTGTGGCTGTGCGGGGGTAGCAGATCCTTCTCGAACAAGTTCTCTGAGCCTAAAAGGTGCTCCGGGGTCCCGCGGAGTCCACACCGTCCCAGGTGAAACCACGGCTCCGTCCCAGGGGGTAAAACGAGGCAACGCTGGGAAACTTCAGCCTCCGGGGCGGAGAGGCGGAGGAGAGGAGGCTGCCCGGGCAGAGGGGCAGGGCCCAGCTTCGGCTTCGAGGAAGGCGCCTGGAAGGGAGAGCGAATGTGCAGGGGAGCAGGCCCTCAGGGGACAGCACAAGGGGCTGCTCCCAGCATATGAGGCTCCTCCCCAGGGCTCTGCAGTCTCCAGAAGGCCAGCCAGTAGTTGGCACACTTGCCACCACGGCTAGGATACCAGGGAGGCGACTGAACCCCGACTCTGCCTCTGGGCCCCCTCATCACAACGCTCGGTACCGCTGTGAGCCTGAACTCCCAGATGAGTAGAAGTGATTTGCCATCCCAGGGCCCAAGCATTCCTACGGGGTATTACTGAGGCTCTTTTTTTTTTTTTTTTAAGTTTATTTATTTATTTTGAGAGTACATACAAGCGGGGAAGGGGTGGAGGGAAGGAGAGAGAACCCCAAGCAGACTCCACACTGTCAGTGCAGAGTCTGACGTGGGGCTTGAACCCACGAACTGGGAGATTATGATCAGAGGTGGAGTCGGACCCTCAACCGACTGAGCCACCCAGGCGCCCCTCTGAGGTTCCTTTTTGAGAAAATAGCATGAAAGGAAAATTCAGTCCCGGGATCTACCCTCATTACAGGGCAGGTGAGCTCTGGATGTGACCAGAGAAACTTACCGCTGCCACAATGACACCTGATTCTACCTTCACGGTGTCGTTTTCCCAGCTCAAGACGTGACCCGCCAGAAAAATCCTGGACGATCTATTCGCTTCTCCAGAAACATCCCTCCTCTGTGACGCCACCTTCCTCCTGAGGCTAATGCGGCCCATTTGCCAACGTGCACACTTGCTCACTCGCTCTTCATACTGTGTCCTCCCTGACACCACGCGCCTGCCCACAATACTGTCCTTGTCCCCACGGCCACTGAAACCCACTAACTGCGATGACCCCTCAGGGTCCCTGTCAGACAAAAGGGTCCCTTTGTTTCAAGGCTTGCTTTTGCTGCCGACGCCCACAGATTCCCTCTCTAGACTCACCCCGGGCTCCTTGCCTTCCCCTCTCGCTTAAACCCACCGCATCCTGCAGCGTGAGTCCCTCACGTGATCCCTGACCGCACTCCCACGTTACTGCCACATAAGAAATCATGATGTGTCGGGGCGCCTGGGTGGCTCAGGTGGTTAAGCGTCCAGCTCTTGATTTCCGTTCAGGTCATGATTTCCCGGTTTGTGGGTTTGAGCCCCGAGTCAGACTCTTTGCTGACAGCAAGGAGCCTGCTTGGAATTCTCTCTTTCTCTCTCAAAATAAATAAATAAAAACTTTAAAAAAAAAGAAAGAAATCCCAATGTGTCATTCATATTCAGATGGGCAAAATACAGGCTTTGAGGCCTGGTTTAAAAGAACCAAGAGTGGGGTTCAGTCGGTTAAGGCTCAGGTCATGATCTCCCTGTTGGTGAGTTCGAGCCCCGCGTCAGGCTCTGCGCTGACAGCTCAGAGCCCAGAGCTTGCTTCAGGCTCTGTGTCTCCGTCTCTCTCTGCCCCTCCCCAGCCTGGCTCGTGTGCATTCTCTCTCTCTCTCTCTCTGCCTCTCTGCCCCTCCTTTATAAAAAAAAATTTTTTTAACGTTTATTCAATTTTGAAAGAAAGCGAAAGACAGAGCTTGAGTGGGGGAGGGGCAGAGAGAGGGAGACACGGAATCCGAAGCAGCTCCAGGCACAGAGCCTGACGCGGGGCCCGAACCCACGAACTGTGAGATCACGACCTGAGCCAAAGTCAGACGCTTAACCCACCGAGCCTCCCAGGCGCCCCAGTAGGAGGTAATCTTCCCCGTGTCCTCTCCGTGCGGTGTCCTCGGTGGGCGACAGGTGGCGCCACGAGCCTACGACCCAGAGACCCGCTGTGGCCGGAACGCAGCTGAGGAAGCGGGACGCCGAGTCTCCGAGCGCCTCTCAGCCGCACTCTGTCACGGGGTGTCTTAAATCAGCTGTTCACACGACCGTGAACCCATAAAATTCCACGTACAGACCAATGCCCTTCGTCTAGATGCTTCCTGATTACTCCTATATCCGGGGACACGTTAAGACATGCACACTGGGGGCGCCCGGGTGGCTCAGTGGGTTGGGCGTCCGACTTCGGCTCGGGTCATGATCTCATGGTTTGTGAGTTCGAGCCCCGCGTCGGGCTCTGTGCTGACCGCTCAGGGCCTGGAGCCTGTTTCAGATTCCGTGTCTCCCTCTCTCTCTGCCCCTCCCCTGCTTTGCTCATCCTCTCTCTTTCTCTCTCTCTCTCTCTCTCTTTTTTTTTATTTCTAGGAGAGAGAGAGAGAGACAGCGTGAGCAGGGGAGGGTCAGAGAGAGAGGGAGTCACAGACTGAAACAGGCTCCAGGCTCTGAGCTGGCAGTCAGCACAGAGCCCGACGCGGGGCTCGAACCCACGAACCGCGAGATCATGACCTTAGCGAAAGTCGGACGCTTAACCGACTAAGCCACCCAGGCGCCCCTATTCTTTCTCTCTCTTATTCTCTCAAGAATAAGCATTAAAAAAAAAGAAGGCCTGCACACCACATGTTATAGCGGTAAGTGTATTGCTTCTAATATAAAATGTGCTAACAGGCGCCTGCCTGCTCCCGCCGTTAAGGGAACCTGGTCCCTCCGGCCAGCCGTGCTGCAATTAGTCATGACAGCAGTGACTAGTGGGACTTACTCAAGATCACGATTTTCTGAGATGACAGTGTAACAGGCAGAGGTGAGGGTTAAGGTAGTAATCATTCCACACGTCATTATGGAGTCACCACTGACAGGCACCTTTGTTCAAACAATGGTTCACCTTCATAACTACCCAGACTTCCTGGCATGACAGGAAGTTTTAAATAATCCAGTTTCCTTATGTACCAGTCTTCAGTATCCTTCGTACTCATCTTTTCTTCCTGGATAAAGGGATATGTTGAGAGATAAGATCAGAGGCGCGCCTTTGAAAACCCTCTGGCATTCATTACGTTTACGTGATTGTTCTCCAGTATGAAATACCCAAAATGGAATTTGACTTTGGCTCAGGTCATGGTCTCACGGCTCATAGGTTTGAGCCTTGTGCCGGGCTCTGTGCTGACAGCACGGAGCCTGGAGTCTGCTTTGGATTCTGTGTCTCCCTCTTCTCTCTGCCCCTTCCCTGCGCATGCTCTGTCTCTCTCTCAAAAATAAACATTTAAAAAATAAATAAACATCTAATAATAAAAAATAACTAAACATCTGAAAATTACAGAAAAACAAATAACAAAAAAAAACACAAAAACAAAAAACAAAAAACAAGCTTGGGCGTCTGGGTGGCTCAGTCAGTTGAGCGTCCGACTTCAGCTCGGGTCATGATCTCACTGCTCACGAGTTCCAGCCCCGCATCAGGATCTGTGCTGACAGCTTGGCGCCTGGAGCCTGCTTCAGATTCTGTCTCCATCTCTCTGCCCCTCCCCTGCTCACTCTGTCTCTGTCTCTGTCTCTGTCTCAAATATAAAAAATAAAACACAAAAACATTTTTAATAAAAAATTTAAAAACAAGCTAAAGAAGAAAAATCACGATCCTATGAAGAGACGCACAAAAAGCATCTGACAAAATCCAACACTCGTTCATGATGAAACCCAGCACTGGAAAGGGACTTCCTCTACTTGATAAACAGTATCTGCAAAAAACATATGGCAAACATCATACTTAGTCATGAGAAATTAGAAGTTTTCCCGCTAAGATCAGGAAAAACTCAAGAAGGA